GTGGGCCTGGGACAAGTCGGCTGCTAAGCAGGACAGGCAGCAGCGGCAAAAACACCCGACAGGCCAGATAAATGTCCTCCGTGGGACGCATGTAGCCCACGGACCATAGTTTGAGGACTCTTGAAAAGTGTTTATTCATTGAAAACAACATTACTTTTACTCTAATTTGACCTTCCTGATCATCTGCTTACTTACTGTAAGCTAGGGAAAATACTTAGAAGTTGTCTAAATAGAACACTAACCACATTATTTTTCTTAGATCAAAGGGATTATATCTGTGAATATTGTGCTCGGGCCTTTAAGAGTTCCCACAATCTGGCAGTGCACCGGATGATTCACACTGGCGAGAAGCCATTACAGTAAGTATTTATTTACTGATGAACACCTGGGTGAGAAGTGTATATATCCCACTTGAAGGTTTGCCCATTTACAACAAACATTTCAGCTGCCACTGTTGTTGACTTTTATCAAATTAAAAAGTGGGTATTGATTGGGGGAGCTATTTGGTGACCTTTTTCTTTATTTTACTGTTTTTCAAGCAAGCAGGAAAAAAAATCAGTAGTTTTCCATTTAGTAACATTTCCTAATCTTTCACAAGAAGTTTGTGTTACTGATAATTGTGTATATATGTGAGCTTCAAATTCTCACCCTGACCCTGAATAAGAGCTCTCCTTATTTATATTTGATCAGCCATTTCCTTTCCACTCTGTTTAGGTGTGAGATCTGTGGATTTACTTGTCGACAAAAAGCATCTCTTAATTGGCACATGAAGAAGCATGATGCAGACTCCTTCTACCAGTTTTCTTGCAATATCTGTGGCAAAAAATTTGAAAAGAAGGACAGCGTAGTGGCACACAAAGCAAAAAGCCACCCTGAGGTGCTGATTGCAGAAGCTCTGGCTGCCAATGCAGGCGCCCTCATCACCAGCACAGATATCTTGGGCACTAATCCAGAGTCCCTGACACAGCCTGCGGATGGTCAGGGTCTTCCTCTTCTTCCTGAGCCCTTGGGAAACTCAGCCTCTGGAGAGTGCCTGCTGCTGGAAGCTGAAGGGATGTCAAAGTCATACTGTAGTGGGACAGAACGGGTGAGCCTGATGGCTGATGGGAAGATCTTTGTGGGAAGCGGCAGCAGCGGGGGTGCTGAAGGGCTGGTCATGAACTCGGATATACTCGGTGCTACCACAGAGGTTCTGATTGAAGATTCAGACTCTACTGGACCTTAGTGGAAGGGAAGACTTGGGGCACTGGGACAGCTCAGACTTTGTATTTAAAAGTTAAAAAGGACAAAAAAAAAAAATTTAAGCATTTAAAATCTAGTAAAATAACTGAAGGGCCTGCTCTTTCCATTGTGGATCACAGCACACATATATACACACACACCCCCATCCCCATCCTCATCCCCTTTTCTCCCTCTGTTGTCCCCCTTATAAAATTGATATTGTCTTTACCAGAAAGGTAGACAAAAAAGAAGCAGAAGCTCTTAAAGTGAGAGTTATCGTCATACTCACTTCCAGCCAGCAGCAGACTTCCTGCTCATTGGCAGATCCCCCTTTCCAACCTATAACTCTGATGTGCTCTGGATCAGCTTTTAACTCTCAGTAGTATATTACTGTCTTCTAAATCCCTTCTCTTTCTCTACTGCTGCCCTATGGTTCTGGCTTCTACCCACTGCGGCACACTTATCCTCAAATATCGTATAATTCTAATCTCTGGAGGCTGGCAGCTTGACTTGGCACTTTAGGGCCCCTTAGCAGGGTGAGCTGTTAAAACAGCACACATCTCTCACCCCATCTTCCTCCATTCCCCACTGGGTTTCGGAAAGGAAGGATACATGGGGACCACCTCCCTCCTCTTTGATCCCAGCATCTCAGTCCCCCTCCCAACCCTCCATATGGCTCTCAATGGTGCTCACTTGCTTGGAAGCAGGCTCCCAAGAGGGAGGGGGCTGCCCTCTACACAGTCTCTTTGACTGTAAGACAGGGCTCTTTATCAATGAGATGGTGAGAAAAGTCCCAGGCTAATGGCAGAAATTTGCACTTTGAACATGTGTGTCTTTGTGTTGTGGAACCTGAGATTCCTTATTTATTAACAGAAAGTCTGATTTTTTTTCTTTTTCTTTTGTTTGGTCTTTATTGCTATATTTTGTGGGGCTGGGCTGAGAGAGATTAGATTATTCTGGCATGGGATCCTTTCCACAATAGGTACTTTGAAGACAAGACATAGAGTTGAAGAAGCACAGCCAGCCTCTGAAATCATAGCTCTCCAGTGGCCTTTAAAGAAAGCTGGTCCTCAGCACTAACAAAATCACTACAATAGCCTAGTGCTTTTTTGGAAGTCTTTTTAGGGAAGGATGTTAGGTTTGTGGTAACTAGTATGCTCTTTAAGATTTTTAGAGCATTGAGATTTAGGAATTTTGAGGGGATGAGGAGGGTTGTTACGTATCTAAATTACAGATAAAGGATTTTCTCTTGTGAATTTGTCTCTTTTCTTGTTCCCATTATTTCCTTCCATATACCTCCCTGTTGGCCCAACTCTAACCCCTTGCCTTGTTTTTGTTTCTTGCTTTGCTTTATCATTGGTTCATTCCAGCTCCCTATTAGTGAAGGACACTGCTGCTTAGTGAAGGAACAAAATCTATAAGTCCTAAAGTTTTAAGTCAAAGAAAACTGGTCTGTTTTGTTTCCCTTTTAGTTAACACTTCAGAGAAGAAAGGCTTCAATAGACAAATTAATAATTTGTATAATAATGGCTTTGGCTTTCACCTGAAATACTGGGAATTACCACTTTCCTTGGGATACAGATTTTTCATGGGGTATAGATTGCTTATTATTGTCCATGGGAGAGACAGGTAGTTCATAACTCCCAGAAGACTAAAAACCTATTTTGGCTCATTTTTAGAGAATTAAAAGGGCAATTCTTATCCTTCTGTGTACCTTAGAAGCTGGAATTGAAGGTTTACCCTATTCATTGCTTTGTGTCAGGACTGTATGACTGCTATTGGAAAGAATGAAGTTTAGCTGAAAAAAAAAAAAAAGTGAAAACTTGTTTTTCACAAACACTAAAACTACAGAGTTTATCGATTTTATTTTTTATTTATTTTTTCTCCCAAAAAGGGGGATAAGAAAATGTCATTTCTGAAAGAGGCGTACTTTACACCCACTCATGTCAGTGGTTGGGATGCCAGAAATAGGGAGTGAGACACCTACGGGAAACAGTCTTAAATGCACTATTGTTTCTTTTCAGATTGTTGCAGATTTGTCATTCCTCCGATGTGGGGGTAGAAAATGGAATAAGGATAGAAGGGTGGTAGAATATGCTTTCCTACCCATAATAAGGGTTCGGAATTGACTTTGGTATTTTGAGTGTATTTGAAAATACTACAGGATCGATTGGATGGGCCTATTAAAAAGTTGTTCTACTCTTGAATAAGTCCATTTTATACTGTTTCACTAGCTAGCATCTCTTTCTCACACTTAGCTCTTGTCTTTGTCACACTTTTTTTGCCTCCATAAACGTCATTTGCACGGTAAGTCATCAGATATTTTAGACACCCACACAAACAAAAGCAAACTGCATTTTAAAAAATCTCTCTCTGAGATGGGGAAAAATGTTATCTTTTCCTATACTATTCTCTCATTTCACAAAAAGCAACTAGTTAGTTCTACTAATTAAAAACTATCTGCTTCTGTTTCTTTTTTTCTTATTGTCTTCATAGTTACCATTTACCTATAATAAATTATTGTGGCAGTTTGCAATAAATTTTGAAGTATTTTTCATAGCCTTTATTTTTTTTGAGAAAGGGGTGCTAGCATAGTAAACAGTAGGTATAAATAAACTGTTAATATCTAAGCCCTCTTCCTGTTTTCCATTCTGTTCCACATGCTGTTTATTTCATTGTTTTTCCAGGGAGCTCTTTGAATCTTAAAATTCTACATTTTGTACTCTTGGTCAAATTCTGTTACCTTTTTAATAACTTCTTGCATTGAATATTCTTCGTTTTGAATTGACAATTCTAAATTCTGAAAATGTAATTAAGATACAACTCAATATTTCTGGGAGATGTGCTTCCCTCTTGTTTGTGGTTGCCCTGGTTATTTAGCATAGTTGAGACTCCTTAAAATACTTCAGAGAGTTTAGGCAAACACTGGCCGTGGGAGTCCTGGGAACAAAAAAAATTATTATGGTATAGAAAAGCATCCACGTAGAGCACTTGATCCTCCTTTGTACCTGTTTGGAGAAAAAATACAACGAATATACTACTAAGATTATTACAGTCTGGTTGTTTGAAATACCATTTCTTCCTCCTTCTCTGTCTTTTTCTCACTTTCCAATGTACTCAAGAAAATTGAAAAAATGTAATGAATCAATTTAAAATATTTTATTTCCTAGAAGCCTTTTTGCCTGTTGTAATGTGCAGGACCCTTCTCCTTTGGTGGGAGAGACAGGTAGTTACCTGAATCTAGGTTGAAGAGGTTATGTAAAAAGAAATTATAATAAAAGGGATACTTTGCTTTTCAAATTCTTGTTTTCTCTTAATCTAGGTAAGACATATTCAAAATAAATAATGTAAAGAAGAAAAATAAAAGTTGTCCTCATGGAAGCAACTTGTCTTCCTTGGTTGTACTGAGTTACAGTTAGCCGAGGGGTTCAGCAGTTTAGTGTTGATAAACGAAAAACCAAGTGCCCTCAAATCAAATTTTTATGTGGCGTTCACTCATTGAGAATTATGCAGTTAACTTTTGAATCAGTTTAATTCTTTTTATTTTTTCTTTTTGAGACAGAGTCTCACTCTGTTTCCTAGGCTAGAGTGCCGTGGCATCAGCCTAGCTCACAGCAATCTCAAACTCCTGTGCTCAAGGGATCCTTCTGCCTCAGCCTCCCAAGTAGCTGGGACTACAGGCATGCGCCACCATGCCTGGCTAATTTTTTATGTATATATTTTTAGTTGTCCAGCTATTTTTTCTTTTAGTAGAAACGGGGTCTAGTTCTTGCTCAGGCTAGTTTCGAACTCCTGAGCTCAAACTATCCACTCGCCTCAGCCTTGTGGAGTGCTAGGATTACACGCGTGAGCCACAATACCCAGCCTGAATCAGTTTAATTCTTGATCTCTGATGCTGAAATGCCATATTCTGTGATCATTCAGAAAATTTGGAAATCTCTTTGATATTTGATGGCCTTCTACTAGGAAAAGTGACCATATTAATGCAGTAGATGGAAGATTAAGGATTCTGCAAATGTTAATTTCACTCTGGTAATAGCAAAATCTTGATAGCATTTAATATCAGGTTTTTTTCACAAAATTCAGTTGTGCATTTCAAGTACTGACCTTTAACAAAGTACAAAACTATAATCCTCCTGACTTCTTAAAATTCCTACTGTGACAGTTGCCCAGGCCTCTCCCTTACATCCTTCATTCATTGTTTACCTATGTAAATTTGCTCCTGAGGTGACAGGTTTCAACTTACTGGCAACATCTATGATACAAAATAGTTAAAGCTCATTGATTCGATCAGGATGAAACTTGCAGCCCTTATCCAATTAGCATCATCCTTTGAGTCAAATGCAATAGGCTGTCAACTGTACAAACACCTTTTAACTCTTATGCCCTCATTTCAAAGTCTTGCTCATTTTCTTATTTTTTTAAGAAGCATGTGGTATGACTGGGATAGGGAAGGAAAAGAAAAGCATGTTGTCACTTGAGTGAAATTGTCTTAGAAATGTTACCAAGTTAGGGTTGGGTGTTTCCTGTCCTTGGAAAAGAACAGGCCTAAACAGTACCTTCATCCTGTAGCTACCAAGAAGGCACCATGATTGAGATTAGAGATGCTCACTTGGTTGGTTTTAATCAAATATAAATTAAATGCTTTCAAAAATATTTATTAAAAGGATAGGAATTTAAAAAATGCTATATTTTTAAAGGGCCTCCTCCATACAACCTTTTGTTTCTTAAACAATATATGAACTACCTAAAGAAAGGATGAAATTAGAAAGTCAGTGGGAGAAACAACTGTGGAATCAAGACCTATTTAAATTTGAGCCTAGTTATTGGATTTTGTGTACAATTATTTTACTTCTTAAGGCTTTAGTTTCTCATATGGTAGAAATAATATTCACCTCAGAATTATTCTCAGGATCAAATAGTTGCTTTAAAGCTTTTAGCACAGTGTTTGACTCGTAGATGCTTAATAAATGGCAACTATAGTAATAATAAAAATATTGAATACTTTTTCAGACCAAAAAAGACAAAAAGGACATGGGGAGCATTAAGGGAGGGTGATAATAAAATGAACTGATCATATGTGTTTATGAAATAGATTACATTAGGCAGAGGTGTCATGAGGATTAGTATGATAGTGACCTTGTTGCTAAGTGCAAAAGCAAAACAATGACATAAAAACAAGTGTGCTAAGTACTGAGTGGAGGAGAGAGATGGAGGCAGACGCTGCAGGAAAAAAAGTTGATTAAAAAGGGCCCTTTGATTCCACAGGCACAAAAAATCCACAGCCAGGAATTTGCTGCCACCTCTGAGTCAGGCAGGGGGTGGGGGTGGGGTGTACAATCCCATTAGTAGAGAATGCCCAGTGGATTTAGTCTGTGAGAGTCACATTTCTTATTTGGACCAGTGTAGACAGAAGCAAACCCAGCTCACTTGTTTCCTGGGACAGTTGAGGTAGGGGATGGCTTTCGCAGAGCATTCACCGCTGACCCCTCATCGCCGAGACCTCTGTAGCCGTTCTATCTGGCTAGCCAGGAAGATTCGTTCAGACCTGACTGCTCTTATGGAATCTTATGTAAGTTATGTATTTTGCTGTTGTCTATTTTCTTTTTACCTCTTCTGATCTAGCCCCTTACCATCATGCTCCAGTCCCGTTATCAATTATGACAGCCCAAATCATATAGTCATTCATATATTGGGCACCTATTATTTGACATGGCCCCTTCCCTTGAGGAAATTCATGTGACCTTATTTTCTACCTCTTGGCTTTTTAGACATGTTATTCCTTGAATGAGAAAGTATATATGAGGTTCTAGGTAGGATTGGGCTATATGTCTTGGAGGCTATTCCTAATTTGATTGCCTATATTCTGCCAGAATAAGTTAACCATGGGCCCTCTAAATTAGGGTTCTTCATAGACATTGTTCCATATTTTTGAGCTATGTAAACGAAAGGTTTATAGGATTGGGAGGAAGAGCAATACGAACTTGGGAGAAATTTGTAAATCCTAGCAATTTCTTCTATACAGTATTAGCCACCCACTTTTTAGTGTTACACTTCAAAAATGTACTTCTATCTAAATAGATCACACTAGGACTTGTGGAAGTATCAGATTCTCAAGGAGCTAACCATGAAGTTCCAGATTGGTTTTCTTACAGCAGAGGATTTTCATCAGTCTCTACACAAGGCCTGCTGTGGAAATGCTCCAGGCCCCTGTGGGCAGTTTTGAATTTAGATTTTCTGAGAATTGTTTTATCTTTGTATAGCCTCTCTAGTCAGAAATTAGACACTGATTACCTTTTTACTAATTTCTACTGCATTTTCTAAATGATTGACTTCACCACAGCGTGGGCAATGGGATGAGGGAGGTTAGAGAAATTCTGCAATAGCTACATTCCAGAGGTTCCTAGGTGTGGCTGATGTCTTCAAGTATGTTTAAAATACTTAGACTCCAGTATGATTAAAGTATTCTAGTTTCCAGGAGAGAGTTTGAAGAGGGAAGGAAAAATTTTTCTAAATGAGTGATCTTCAGCCTTTAGAACTTAAACGTTCTCCCAGGAAAGATACACAGACACTCAATTTCAGAGACTACTGAGTCTTCCTGAAGTCTAGTCATGGATCCCAAATTAAAAGTTCCTATGGTAGACATTTTCTTTACAACTTGGATCCTTGATCAGGGAGGTGAATGAGATTTTATTTGAGATTTCGGGATGAATTAAGTAAGGACATTGGGGTGATTACAGAAGATGTGCTGTTTTCCTGTATCCTCGGCCAGGTGAAGTATCAGGGCCTGAACAAGAACATCAACCTGGACTCTGTGGATGGTGTGCCAATGGCAAGTACTGATAAATGGAGTGAGCTGACTGAGGCAGAGCGACTCCAAGAGAATCTCCAAGCTTATCGTACATTCCACGTTATGTTGGCCAGGCTTTTAGAAGACCAACAGGTACATTTCACCCCAACCGAAGGTGACTTCCATCAAGCTATACACACCCTTCTACTCCAAGTTGCTGCCTTTGCTTACCAGCTAGAGGAGTTAATGATACTCCTGGAACACAAGATCCCCCCCAGCGAGGCTGATGGGATGCCTGTTGTTGGAGATGGTGGTCTCTTTGAGAAGAAGCTGTGGGGCCTAAAGGTGCTGCAGGAGCTTTCACAGTGGACAGTGAGGTCTATCCATGACCTTCGTGTTATTTCTTCACATCAGACTGGGATCCCAGCACATGGGAGCCATTATATTGCTAATGAAAAGAAAATGTAGCATTTAGCCCCTTTTCCCTTCCTTGCTTTCTTTTCAGATGGAATGTACATCTATAGACTTATCTTAAATTTCTGAAAACCTTTAAGACCATAGGCATTTTCATCAAGTAGGGTTGGAGACATGGACAAATGGGCATACACATCTAGTTTGGGGTGGGTGCATGCACACGCGTGCGTGTGTGTGTGTGTGTGTGTGTTGTGTGTATTAGGGGCATGTGGGAGTGAGGACAACATCCGTCTACTTCAGTGCTTTAATTTTTCTAACCCACTAAGGAACCATTATAGACATTTAACAGCCTGAATCGTTCTGGATAACTTGCCTGAGAAGGCTGAGCCATTGAATTAAACTGATGGACTTTGGCCAATTTAAACTCTTCAACAATAAAAATAATAATTAACATTTATTGAATATCTACTATATTATTGGGCTTTATGTGTATTATGTATAACTTTTACAGCAACCTGGGGAGGGCAGCGGTGTTATTCCCATTTGGCAGATGAAAAAACAGGCTCAGAGAGACTTGATAAAGGTCACATGGCTAGCAAGTGACACACTAAGTTTGAACAGAGATCTTATTATAAAGCCTCTATGCCCTTAGAGGTTTGATTATGAACTTCTATCACTGCACTTCTTTGTCACAGAGGGTTGGAAGATGTATCCATGTATTTATCCCCAACACTGAAAAACAGCCCCCATTACATGTCCTCATAGTCAGTAGCAGACTTTAGTGTTAAAGTCAGTATTTGTTGCCCATACTTGGCAATGAAGAGAGCACCTAAGATCTTAGGATTCCATTTGGGACAGTGATTAGGCCCACCGAACTTCTGAACCTTTGAAGCTGGGAATGTGCAGTAATTCAGCCTGGTTTAAAGTGCCCACTACTGAATGTTCCTGAATATTGGGCTGGGCACAGTTTATACCAGGTTACCTCACATTTACTGCAATCAGCAGTGCAGTAATATAGACACTGTAACCCAGACATTTGTGGACAATGGGTGGAATACTGCTCAGGTTAAAAAGTCACAGGATTCTGTCACCTCACATTCTCTGGATTTAGTCATGAGGAGAGGGTGAGGCCCCACTCTGTTCCCACTGGAAATGCCAGAGATTCTGAAACAATATACACAGCAAAGCCTCTGTGCTGCTCAATAAAGGGCAGGGCTCAGCATTTAGTGTTCTTATAAGAACCACACATAGTATGAAAGGTTAGTAAATGTGGGCATTAATGGAAAAGGTCATTTGCAGTGAGGCCTATGTAGTGATTGTGCAATGTGAACCCAAAAGTTCTCAAGTATGTTATTTATTGTACACTTACCAATTATTTAAAACTCAAGATTTTGGATTGGGGGCCCAGGTCAATTTAGTTTAATTAATCAAGGCTCCTGTATTCCTAACTGAACCATGAGTCAGAGCTAGTTCCCACAGGTTGTGTGAGGTGGAAGTGGGTGACTTAACTTCTATCTTTTCCCACGCGGGCTTGTGTATAAAACTCCATGAAGTCAGCATTATGAGAGAGGACTCGCATTGTGGAAGTTCAGGGGAGGTAAGGCCCTGCTTTCTACTATGCATTTGTGGAAACACGGTTGTATATATAAAAAATAAGAAATCAGTACTAGGTTGTAATTGAAAGGTCCAGATTTATTAGAGAGTTAAAAGAAGGAGATCAGCAAGGGCCCAAAATAGTTTCCTGGAAGAACTAGGAGTCGTATCTCGGAGATGGGCTGAATACAAAATAGAAATCATAAGGAAAGAAATGGGAGACTTGCCTGCTGAAGCGAAAGTTAGGCAGTAATAAACATATGAGTGCAGCTACCACTAAAAGCTTATTGTTTGGTTTTATTTTATTTGTAATTTTGGTGCAGGTATATAGTTGCCCAATGAATGTATAGAGGCTTATTCCATTCAAGTGTTCCCTTATTTAAATTGTTTCTTCTGCTTGACTGCAGCATTTTCAATTCATAAAATATCTGCTTATTAATGTGAAGCTCTTAGATTTATCTGGATAATACTTTTGTTTAATGGAGAAAGATGTATCTAAAATTTCTTAACGGGGAATAACTGGCTATAAGCTTGCTAGATCTAAAATGAGTGACCATGTCAATCATAAACAAAAAATATTTTTAAAGGAATAAATAAAATGCTGTTCCTCTCCAAAAAATTAAAATAATAAAACAATGTAAAATATATGTAAAATGAGTGACTCCTCTTCAAGTGTTTTTATATCCAGCAGATGTGGCAGGGCAGACATCTGCGGAAGTGTCAGAAATCACTGGAGCCTCTCGTAACTGCTGAGCTGTACATGAAGGAATATGTATGTGTATGAGGTAGATTTGAAGTAGCAGAGGGTACAGAAAAGGTATGAGTACTAATTGTTGAATGGGAGGAGGTAGGTAAATGTTTTAAGTCTTGAATAGGTCACAGAAGCATCAAGTCTTTACCAAGTGCATTACCAGCACTGTGCAAAGAGCTGTGTTTCAGTTCTTTAAGAAACTTGCAGTATGCTTCAAAAAAAAAAGTATGAGGAAACCTCTTAGAAAGAAATAAAGGGAAAATGAGCACTTAGCTATATAACAAAAACATAAACATGTATGAAATCAGAATGTGTAGACATTGCAAGACATTGTATCATGTTTATCTGAAATGGATAAATCAAATTGAATAAGGGACTGACAATGGACCATTGTTCTAGATACATATCTTATACAGATAAGGATGATGATGACACTGTGGAAGTATATATTTTTAGGGATTATAGTCCAAACGAGCCTTTTTTTTTCTTTGGATTTTAGTCCCTTGGTTCTAGTTCTGAACATGGATAGGATCTCCAGGAAAATCAGGAACGCTATATGGAAATAGTTATTAATAAGATACATTAAGTTCCTAGCCCCTAACTTCTTATTTTGTAAAAAGTGTTCCTTCTATCCCAGTGCTTCCAGAAAAGTCTTTTCTGTGGGGAGGGAGAGAGATTCCATTTTCCTGTGTCTGTCAAGAAATTGCATGGATGAGAGTTGATAAATTTCCTCTTAAATTGATTTAAGAGGGTGATTTGGAAAAGGCTTGCAAAGTGGCACAAACTTGAAGGCCTAGCATGGAATAAAATCAGCTTTAATATAATCAGGTTTGAGGGAAGTGAGAGTTTTAATAAAAATGGAAAGTGTAAAGTCATAGCCCTGGTATTACTGTTATTTCAGGCTGCTGTGGATTAAAGCCCAATGGATGACTCATTGTTGTGACCACTTGTCAAACCTGGAGAGGACAAGTAAATATTTCAGGAAGACTTATCAGAAAAGTTGTTTACAATGAATTTTGTTTGTGAAGCCTCAGCTCCTCATGAGGTACCTGAGCATCATTTCCCTCTATTAAGGGGTAAAATAGAGATGGATAGGAATAGGATAGGAAACAGCAAGACAAGACCTCAACCAGGATGGGAAAAGGACTGGTGAAGAGGAAAGGGGAGGGGAGTACAATTTGGATTTCACTTTAATTGATTTATCCTGTGTGTGTGTGTGTGTGTGTGTGTGTGTGTGTACGCGCGCACATGTAGTGTTTAGGTCAGGGCATTCTTTAGAAAGTGGTTTGTACTGCCTCATCCCACCTCTACTTGAAGGGTCAAACCCAAGAATGAGCTCTCTGAATAAATGTTGGTATATTCAAAAAGTGAAAAATGATAGAAACTTTTATCTCTTGACTCAAAAACTTCTATAGAACTTTGAGGACATAGACAAAAACAAAATAAAAAGATAATTTGATCTTTGGATGAAATGTATGTGGAGTGTGAGATAAAAATCTATGTGCTTATGATTCTTAAAATATATTACTCAGATGGATGTTTTCGGCACATAGAAAAGAAAAGATACAAGATAGCTAACAATAAAGTTCTCAGAAAGACCATGAGTTACTTCTTTTATTTCTGTAACTTTGGATGAACAAGGGGAATTTCAAGTGATTTCAACATTGGATGAAATGTAATCCTTCCAGCCAGAGCCAGACTCAGTCAAGCGTGCAGGGTAAATCTCCGTGATGCCAGGCCACTGGGCAAAACTCCCAGAGCCAGTCAGCCTGGAAAAGGTAGATTGCCTTTACATCACCAGGCCAATGCTGCTTTGCTCTCTGAATATGTAGTCCTATTGGCTAGCCTGCAGATGAGAAAGATTTCCTTTTATGTGGTTTAATTTCAAGTGTGTGATCCCGATAAAGCCTTTGATTGAAGAGAAGAAGCCTAACTAGCCCATTTCTAATAAAATTGGAGGTAGAAACTAAATTGTGGAAAATCCCATAGGGGAAAATATGAAAAATTGCTGACAGATTTGAATATTTCTATCCGTATGTTCAAGGTAGTGTGAAAGGGAATAATGCATTTACTTATTTATTTACTCTGTTGGGTAGCTCTACACTATTTTATGTCATTAATCCTCTGATATAATATCTCACTTTCATAGATGAGAGAAAAGAGAATGGGTGCAGAGGTGGAGGAGAGAGGTGGAGTTTTAATTCTGCTACACGCCATGCCATGGTACACATAATAATTGAGATAATCGTATTCTGAAATCTCATTTTCCATCTCTGTAATTCACTTCCCTTGGATAAAGCCAGTACAGACTTGTACAGAATCTTGCTCTGTGACAAAGTCTATATAAGGTTTCAAGCTTTGGGACCAGTCATTTTTTCTGAGCTTCCTAATTTATGAAATGTAAATGATGAAAAATAACTAACTTCACAGCTTGCTATATGATTCAGACAAATTGAATATCTGAAAGTACTTATAAATGACCTACAAGTGTATTTACTGTAATGTCTCAAGTAGCTTGGATTCACGTTAGACTGGATTATCCTCTGTAAATATCTCAGAGGATACCATTTGCTTCCCAGGGCTGATCTGGTCGCAGCCTAGACGTCACCCTGTTGTGCCTGTTGGCTTTTGGCCACTAGAGCCCAACCCGGTCTCACTCACAGCCTTCAGGAATCGTCCACCTCAGGAGACTGGAGACCCAGTCTGTTGACTGCACCCAGAAGAGTGGGCGGCGTCAGACAAGTCCTGGAGAAGCCTAGCAGGCTCTAGAAAGAGCCAAGGAAACATGCAAACTAGAGCCGCCCAGTATAGGTTAAAGCATGTATTTAGAGTTAGGATCATCCCTCCATATACCCACACCCTCCTCCTAATACTGAAAGGAACTCAAACTTCTTTTAGTTCAATCCCTTCATTAAACACATAGCACAGAGGAGCCAAAGAGGTTCAGCAGTCTGCCCCAGTATCCCAGCTAGAAAGTGGAAGAATGAGACCTGCAGTCCATGGATTTCCTGCTGCCTCTCCCCACTTCTCCATTAGACCAACCTCATCTTAGGAAACATGAGGTGTCTCTGTTTACGCATACAGCGCCCTCTAGCTCCCGGACCTCTAATAAT